CGTCCCTCCAACGTCACCCGGCAGGCCCCAACCGTCACCCCACGCGCTAACCGGGGCGCGCACACGCGCCTTTCCGCACCTCGCGCCGCTCGCCGACCGGACTCCGTGCGGCGGCCACCGCCGCTCCCTTCTACCCCCTCCCCGACCCCCGCTCAGTTCCATCTCTATTCACAGGCCCAAGGCAAGGTTCCGCGCACGCGCGCCCTGCCCGCTCTCACCTCGCGCGAACGCAATAACTCAACCCCGTCCGCTCGCCGCGAGCCCAACCGCTGCCTCTGAGCCCGCTGCCGCCGTCGCCGCCGCCGCCGCCGCTGCTGCACACGGGTCCTACTACGCAGGCGCCGACTCCCCACTGACCAACCAAGCAGCCCTGTGACAGCCGCGCAAGCGTGCTATCTGGCTCCTCCGCCCTCCACCCCCGCACTGCGCAAGCGCACAGATCCTCCCCTAGCTCCATCCTCCCTCCCACCTACCCATCCAATGACGCGTATACGTAATCCCGCCCCTCACAAAGCCCGAGCTCTGCCCACCAGTAGGCAACGCGCAGGCGCGCCCGGTTTTTTAATCCCTTTAACCTCCTCTTTCCTCCCCGTGATAGACCACTAGCCTTACCGGACAGTACTTGCGCCTGCGCAATAAGAAACCCTCGACTCCGCACCCTCTGAAGGAAACGCCTCGACCATAAAGCGCATGTGTGCTGGGAATCTTGACCACCCCTTCCACCTCAGACGTCGTTCGTACGCCGGACGTTGAAACGACCACGCCACTGTAACTTGTCTCGCCTAGAACGCATGCGTTGTAGGAAACGCCCCATTTCGGCTTTAACCGGACTTAAAACGACTCACACGTTTCAGAAAACTTGCACAGAGGGGTGGGCTCCTTGTCTCACGCCCCCGCCCCAGTTACACACATGCGCATGAGAGCTCTTCGCGCTCCAGCCGCCGTAGAGCGCTGGTGTGGTCGGGTTAGCACCCCTCCCAAGCTTCAGTTCTCTAAGCTGTACGGCTCTGCTCTGCCATAGAGTTTCACCCGGCAGAGAGAACGGTCCTGTCCAGCCACCATCTTTAAACGCTCTGTCCGCATTGGTCCCTGTGGCTTCCATAGAGGCTACTCTACCTCTGAATCCTGAATTAAGACTTACTTGTCATTTCTTTTCCCCCAGCTGTTCTCTGCGGTCTCCAAAACAATTGTCTGCGAGCACCCTTAGAAAAAATTATAAGGAAGAATGGTATGTTAAGTTCCACTGACGTTCTCTTAAATCATAGAAGATGACCATGAAGCTGGAAACAAGCTATCTCTTGCAATGTATTAACCCTGGCCCTCGTTCTAGGGAAGAAAGTTGCTGCATTTCCTGAAACTTTCTAGTCTCCCTCCGGTTCCTAGGTTTCCAGCACTATCTTCACGGCTAGGTGAACGACAGTACTGTGAAACTAGACGATCAACTAAACAGCTGGTATTAGAATCCAAAACCTTGAATCTCGTTGTTTTAAGAATTCTGTGACATGATAGATATGAACCGCAAGCATCAGCTTAAATTAATAGATTTATGTAGCACATGATACTATCACTCCCAGCTCCTTCCACTCAGTCTTCTGAATTTTCTGACCTTTCCTCTGTAAAACAAAACTTTCTGGGTGCATCATTAAAAAGTTAAAGTGGTAACGGGGGAGTTTGTGCACTTGTGGCGCAGGATGTATATGGGAAATACAAATGCCTTTTGTCAAATTCTAAAACTGCTCTAAAAAGTACAGTTATTATATGGGGGGGGGGAGCAGGGGCGAGGATTGGAGTTGGACTGGATGCAAGAGACCAGTGAAGAACATCTGACAGTAGCCCAAGTGAGCAAGACGCAAGACCTGGATCAAGGCAGTGTTGGTGGGGCGAGGAGGAAAGGATGAGTACCAAAGACATTTTGGAGATCTAATTGCCAGGACTTGGTGGTTACCTTAATGAGGAAGATGAAGTCAGAGTAGGTCAAAGTTGCCTTCAGTCTGTGTGGCTGGGAGATATAATATATTGATCAAGCCATTCCTGAAGATAAATGCAGTCTTAAAGGAACTAGGAAATCTTCTTAAGGTTCTGGGATTCTGAGATTCAAGCTCAGAGTTGGATGGGCGAGCACATTAGTCTCAGAGTGAAGCTGGGCTGAGGAAGTTGGGTAACAATGGGGTTGAGGACAAACCAGCTGTTTTTTTCACTTGCCCCTCACCTGGAAGGGAAAGGGCTTCAGTTGTATTGGGAATAATGGTTTTACATGATTAAAAAGATTCTGTCAAATTTCCTTTATTATGAAAATAGGAGTCCATTGTAAAAAATTTTTGAAAAACAAAAAATAAAACAAAATTAACCATAAACCCAACACCCAGAGGCAACTGCTATTAATGTTTTACCATATTTTCCTCCAAACTTTTTCTATGCCTTTTAAAAAATATATCTGAGGTCACAGTGAACTGTTTCTGTGTTGCATGTGAAGGTAAATTAAGTCAGCTGATGGAAAGAATTCCCAGATAGAAAGAAATCAGGCAAGGATTGGGATTGAGGTGGGGGTTCTCTGTGGTACAAATATTTCACAATGAATTAATCCTTATCAAGGGACCTGGGTAGGGACTATTTATTCTCCTTCCACCCTCAAGGGCTTGTATAAAAGTCAATTACATCAAATGGACCTTGAGAATGGGCAAATAGGTAACTCTTTGGAGAAGGAGGTGAGGCAGGGTGAGGGTAGGTCTTGAACCTGCTCTCAGAACACCCAGCTGCTGGGATCATAGCAGAAATCTTGACTGCACTCATCAGTTAACATTCATTCAGTTAATATTTACTATGTCTGTTTAGTACCAGATACTTGGGATATAAGGATGGCGAGCTTAGCAGTATGATCTCTGCCCCACAGTTAGGGGGAGTGGGATTATCAAATAATAAACAAATATCCAATGTTGGTCTGTGTGCTCAGGCCGGTACAGTACGTGTTTACCACCAGTGAGTGATGGGTTTATAAATGAGAGTTGGTAGAAGAGAAGGATCACCCTGAAGGATGCCCGAGGAATCTTTGTGATTTTGACCTTGCTTCTTTGGAAGCAAAAGAAAAGAGAGTGTAGGTGGAGAAGAATGAGACTGGAGTTGTTCTGGGCCAGGAGGAAAAGTCCTACCTTCCCTCCATTCTCAGAGGCTTTCTTTGTTCAACCTGAGTGCTAGAGAGAGAAGTAAGAAAGTTTCTTAGAAACTGAACCAAGTAAGTAGGAATAAGGCTGGGGACAGAATATAGAGCAGCTCATAGAGGAAGGAAGCTCAATGAGTCAATCACAAATGACTATAGCATGTTGACTTTGACTCGTTTGCTCATTCATTCACTCTCCAGGTGGCCTCAGAAGCCTTGCTCTGTGCCAGGCCTATGGTCAATGAGAGTAATTCGGAGGTAGCCAGGCAACTGCAGAGCAGTGTGATGCAGCCCTCTGCAGGGAATGTGGGGATGAGTGAGCACCAAGATGGGGCCAAACCCAGTCTGGAATCCTGGCAGGTCTTTTGGCAGTGGAGACACCAGAGCTGAGGAATCTGAAGAAGGATCAGCCCTCAACAGGGTGAGGAAGGGTCTGGGAGTTCTGTGGGCAAGATAAAGAAACATTAGCTGGGTATCAACCCATCTTGGCTGGTTTAGCCCCATGAAAAGAATACCTCAAGATATAAGAGAGGAAGTAAGGAGCAGGTAACATCTGTGATCAGAGAAGAAAGATCCAAAGGGCAGGTTGGGGCCTCAGCTGCAGGCCTCCAATCCAAGGGGATACTCGCTGCATCTTGGGTCCCAGGCCTGTGCACTTCCACACAATTCCAATCCTGTCTCTCTTCTCTCCACGCAGCCAGCTCTTGTGTGCCTTTCAGAATAGGATCTGGCTTCTCCTCCTGCTGAGGCCATCCCTGAGACACCCAGGCTGACCTGGATGGCATCTTCTCTGCCTTACCACCTCTATGCTGACCCCAACCTAGCACTTGTCCTGTAGACAACATGTCTGTCTACCTCCACCAGACTGTGAGCTCCATGAGAGCAGAGTCTTTCCATCCCCGGTACCCACCACAGAGCCTGGCATATGGACAGCTCTGAATGTTTATAGAATGAATGAATTGGCAGAGGAGTCAATCTAAGCAGGAGAAACTGCCAAGAACTCAGAGGGAATCAAGAAGGAAGAATGTTGAGTCTTCTTAGAGCTTACCTGCACAGGGGGCTCTCCTAGAGGGAGATGAAAGCTCAGATCATTTACGCATCAGTTAGTAATACATAATACATAGGACAGCCAGTAATTACTGTTTTGTTTTAGATGCACCAGATACATAATCAAAGTAGTCTTCAGATCAAGCGGAAGTCTACTTGAGAAACCACTTCTAGGGAGCCTAATCTACACTTGGACCTGATTTAGAAGATGAGGTCTGAAACTATCCTGATGATATAATGAATTGAGACTTTGGAGGCCTTGGAGAGGGAGTAGTGCATTTTGCAATGGGAATGATAGGAATTATTGAAGGCTGAGGGCAGACTGTTCCATTATATTATCCAAACACTGTCACAGTAATATTTCTCATCTCACATGCTCTTATCCTGTGTGATCTTGCCATCCCCCATCAAGAGGTCTGACAGATCTGGGCAGGCTTGTGATTGCTTTGACTAAAGCATAGGGTATAAGTGATGCCATGTGACCTTACAAGGCTGGGTCATAAAGAGTATGCAGCTTTCATCTTATTTTTCTGACACACTTGCACCTGAATCCTGGAGGAAATCCAACTACCACATCCAAGATGTGAGGAAACTGAAGCCATAGGGGAAGGCCATGCATAAGGACTCCTGTCAACAGTTCTAGACCCTCGCCATTTAAGTTGTCCTTGCTGAGGCTCTGGGCATTGTGCAGAGATAAGCCAACTTCATCATGCCAGTCATGTTCAAATTCCCAAGCTATAGGACCCATGGACTTAATAAAATAGTTGTATTTTATACACTAAACTTTGAGGTAATAACTGGAACAACTGGATAACTTAAAAACCACATTATAAGAACCATTTGACCTTTTGGTGTAAAGAGTTAAAGAGACTTCATAATGAGTAAAGTATAAGTTTTAGTGAAAAAGTTTATGACTTTTGCTTAATGGCTTGCAATGGCTTATTTAGTCATTTCTTTGGTTTTAGGATACTAAGTCATGTGGCTATATCTGATTTCTATATAGTTGATGTGCCACAGTACATTAGTTTGTACTGGTTTGTTTGTAAACATTCCATTTAATTTGCATTTTGTTCTCCTACTTGATTGAAAACTTAATATAATGATTCTTTAAAAAAGAAGATGACGAAGAAGAGGAAGAGGGAGAGAAATGCTGTAAAACAGTGAGATGGGAGTTTGTTAGGGATTAAAGAATACAGTCTCAGCATACTTCAGGACCACCTTGTCCTGACCTGCCAGGAAACAGGCCTGGGACCCACATGCCCTTCTCCCTCCTGTGTTCGCCTCTTCTCCTCTTCAGGGTGCTTGGTCCAGCTTAGAATATCTGATTCTTCTTGGCACTGGTGCTCCCAATTTGTTTGAAAGAAGGGGGCTATATGGCTCAGAGATGAGTGGGATTCACCAAATCCTAAATTCTACAAAGGCAAAACTAGCCTTAAAGATGGAACTTAGACAAGAAAGAGGATCCCTCCACCCCCTCACTTGAGGCTCAAGCCTCCTGCCTATTTTCAGAGGAGGGAGTCTCCCCTCCCACCTACTCAGAGTGAAGAGAAAGTTCTCCAAGTCAGACCCACAGTTCATCTGAGCAGTCCACCTTAGGGGCTACCTTGGTTCCGCAGACTGAGTTGTCATGTCAGAGTTTGATTTGAGAAGCCACACAGACCTACCTGTCCAAAAAAACACCCACCACCCTTACTGCCTTCTGGAGTCTGCCAGGGAAGCCTAAATCACCACCAATGGCGTCAGTCTCTGAGATATTCAATTCAACCAAGAAGAACCCAGTAAATGGCTTTAGACAACCATTCAGGGGCCACTCTGTTCAGAACAAGTTTCCGTGTGGATTCAAGGCCTGCCAGAATTAGGCTCCAACCTACCTATCCCAGCTGTTCCTCTACAGAGCCCCTGCAGGCTCCCGTATTTCACAAACACAGTCATGCCTTTCCCACTCCTGGGCCCTCACTGCTTGCTTCACTTTGGTCTTGTCCCTTAGCATCTCTGAGACCATTTCCTCATCTAAGAGAACAAAGAGATTAATACTTATTTTGTAGAGAGCTCACTCAACCTTAGGGCTATAAACCTCATCTGTACTCAGGACTTTAAATGCAGGACTCCAGCTCTTTCTCCTGAGCGGCAGACTTCAACTGCCTGCTTTTAAATATATATAATATTTTTTTCTTTTTTTTTTTGTTAATCTGAGACAGAGGGAGGGGGAGAGAGTGAGGGAGGGGGAAAGAGGAGGGGGGAGAGAGACATCGATTTGTTGGATTTGTTGTTCCACTTATTTATGGATTCATTGGTTGATTCTTGTGTGTGCCCTGCCCTGACTGGAGCTCAAGCCTGCAACCTTGGCATATGGGATGATACTCTAACCAACTGAGCTACCCAACTGCCTGTTTGAGCTGTTTCAAACAAGCCTCAAACCAAACTCCTGACTATGTTACTCCTCTAGGGTTTTCCATTTAAGTAAATAGCGTCATCATCCAGCCAAGTTCACCTAAGCTAAAAACCTAGGTCCCTTGCCCAGCCGGGCATGGCTCAGTGGTTGAGCATCAACCTAGGATCCAGGAGATTGAGGTTCGATTCCTGGTCAGGGAATGTGCCCGGGTTACGGCTCGATCCCCAGTCGGGGGCGTGCAGGAGGCAGCCGATCAATGATCAATGACAACCCTCATCATTGATGTTTCTATCTCTCCTTCTCCCTTCCTCTCTCTGAAATCAATAAAGACATATTACAAAAAACACACCAAGGTCCCTTGATTCCTTTTCACTCATCCCCACACATCCATTCTACCACCAAGTCCTGCAGACACTATTTCTAAAACATACTTCAAACTGGTCCACTTCTCTCCATCCTCACTGCCCCTACACTAATCCATGCCCCCAGCATCATCTCTGCCTCCCCCCAATTTATTTCCTCAGAACAGCCAAATGTTTTAAAACCATAAATTAAGTAGGGGAAGTTGTGTGTTGGGCAGGGGGGGAGATATGATACATTTCTGTATCTTCTGCTCAATTTTGCTGTGAACCTAAAACTACTTTTAAAAAATAAAGTTTATTTTAAAAAAATAAATAGCTCAGCCGGGCGTGGCTCAGTGGTTGAGCATCGACCTAGGATCCAGGCAATTGGGGTTCGATTCCCGGTCAGGGCACAAGCCTGGGTTGCGGGCTCGATCCCCAGTCGGAGGTGTGCAGGAGGCAGCCGATCAGTGACTCTCATCATTGATGTTTCTCTCTCTCTCTCCCTATCTTTTCCTCTCTGAAATCAATAAAGATATATATTTTTTAAATAATAAAATAAATAAATAAATAAATAAAGCCACATGACTTACTCCCTCTTTTAAAACCCTTCAAAGACTTCCCATCACTCTTGGAATAAATCCAGTTTCCAAGGCTTTGGTTGATCTGGCCCTGCCTACTTCACCCTCCTCCTTGTCCACTTAACTTCTCCCTCTAATAAGCTCAGGCTTCTTCTGCCTCAGGGCCTTTGCACTAGCTGTTTCATGTGCCTCGAACCCTCTACCCTTCATTTGGCTGTCTTCTTCTCATCCTTCAGGTCACAGCTTAAACTGTGACACCTATCCTGGCAATGTCTTCCTGACAGCCTAACCCTAACCCTAACCCCACATTCTCCTCTTCCCCATCACATCAATCTGTACATTTCTGTCATGGCTTTTATTGTATCTATAATTAACATGCGTACCTGTTTACTTATTTCACTGTCTCCTTTACTAGAATGTGAGTCATATGAGGGCAGGAATCTTGTATGTCTTACTTACCATTATATCCCAAGCACCTTTTATCACACCTGGCACACAGTAGGTATTCAATATACATTTGTTGAAGAAATAAATGAATATGCATATTTTATTGTAAACTACCTGAAATATTTTTAGAAGTCACAGAGTTGCTAACAAGTACTGCAATTATCATTACAGTTATTGGTGCACTTGTCTTCCTTACTACATGGTCAGAAAATGTTACTCAATAAATGTCAGTGAAATTAATTCAAATAGGGACTCCATGGACTTTGAGAACAGATGATTTAGTATCATGAAAGTTGAGATTTAAAAAGATGGTTCTGTAGCAGCACTATCTACTAGAACTGTGATGACAGAAATGGTCCGTATCTGTGCTAATACAGTATCCACTAGCCACATGTGGCCATTCAGCTCTTAAAATATGTAGCTAGTGGTTACTGTATTGGACAATTCAGACCAGCATCAGGAAGACCTGTCAGGAGGGAGTGTTTGGGGCATGGATAGGCAGAGATTCAATGGGAAGACAGAAGGCTGAAACTTGGGTGTTCAGAGATAATCTAAGATATTTGAATTTTACCTATGAGTCTTCAGTGGGAAGTCACTGAAGAGTTTTAAGCAGAGTAGAATATTTCACTCATTCATTCATAAATCTGCTTAATTAAGTTTATTTTTTAACCTCTTACCCCATTCCTTCCATAGACAATTGTGTTATTAAATATTTTTGTTTTTATGTATTTGATGAGATATGATTGGTATTTGTGGTAATGGGTCTTTTTATTTTATTATTTTTAAGTGAAAGAGACTTTACTAGTGAAGCAGTGAGACTGAGAGTGGCTATTCCACAGACCCAGCAGCCGGGGATATGTATTTTTAAGTAAAATTATTGTATATCTCATCCTGTTCCTTACTCTCTTTCTCTAAGCACTGTGTTATTAAGATCCATCCGTGTTGCTATAAGTACATTGAGCCAGTTGCTTCTAATTTCTTTGTAATACTCCATGGTATACATTCAGCTCACCACACCTTACCTATCACACTCCCAGCGATGGATGCCCAGGACGCCTCCAGCTTCCCACCTTCACATACTCATGCATGTCTCCTTACAGACCTGTAAAAGAATCTCTTTTGGTCATGTGCTCAGAAGATGAATTGCTGAATCATAGGGAATGTATAAATTTGATGTGCTTAAATATTGCCAGAAAAAATACACTTTATAAAGATCTTTCTGGCTGCCTTCATTCATTCAGCCAAATATTTACTGGTCACTTACTAGATGTCAGGTAGTTTTAGGTACTGAGAATACAGCAGTCAACAAGACAGACAAGATCTCAACCTTACAAATTATAAACAAGAAAATATGAACAAAGAAATATCAGGTACTAACAAATATAGAGTGAAAATAAAGTTGGTGGTAGAACAAAATGACTGGGAGGCTATTTTGCTTGTGAGGCACTTTGTGAAAAGTGGGTTGAAGGGGACAGAAACCACTGGAGGTGAGGAAGTCAGGTAGGCAGGAGGCTATTGCAGCGATGGAAGTGAGAGATGCTGATGGTGTAAATCAGGTAGGGACAGTGGAGTCCATATCTCTGCATCCAGATATGGTGGAGCCCTTTACCAAGACAGGGGACCCTGGAGATTTCCAGCTTGCAATTGGCCATCACGGGTCTGGAGCTCACATAGTATAGGCTGGAGGCACAGATTGGGGAGTCATCTGTGTTTGAGTTGTTTATTGGCTTCCTAGGGCTACTGTAACAAAGTACCACAAGCTTGGTGCTTAAAACAACAGAACGGTACTCTCACAGTTCTGTAGAAGTCTGAAATCAAAATGTTGGCAGGGCTACTCTCTCTGAAGCCTTGAAGAGGATCTTTCCTTGCCTCTTCCAGCTTCTGGCAGCCCCAGGTGTTCTATGGCTTACAGCTGTAGCACTTCAGTGTTGGCCTCTGTCATCACACCGCATTCTCTCTATGTCTTTTAAGTGGCAGTTTCCTCTTATACGGACACCAGTCATGTTGGTTTAGGCCCACCCTAATGAGTTCATCTTAACTTGATTACATCTGTATAGATCCCATCTCTTTTGTTTTTTCTTTTTTTTAAATATGTTTTTATTGATTTTTAGAAAGGAAGGGAGAGGGATAGAGAGAGAAACATCGATGAGAGAAAAACATCATCTATGGCTGCCTCCTGCACACCCCCTACTGGGGATGGAGCTCACAACTCAGGCATGTGTCCTGACTGGGAATCAAACCATGACCTCTTGGTTCTTAGGTTGACACTCAACCGCTGAGCCATGCTGGCTTGGCTGCAAAGATCTTATTTCCAAATAAGGTCACATTCACAGGTACTAGGGGTTAGAACTTCAACATATATTCTTAGGGGACATAATTCTACCCATAGCAGGTCATATGTGAAGCAGTGGGAGTGGATGAGCTCTCCACAGGAGAGGTTACAGAGTCAGAAGTACTGGGGACTCTGACCTTTAAGAAGGGGCAAGTAAAAGACTGAGGAGCCCATAAGGGAATCTGAGAAGAAAATGGTCTCCAGTTGCATCTGCCACATAGACAGAGAAACAAGAGCAAAAAAGTGTCCATTGAACTAAGTAGTATGACAAATGTCAGTGTCTTTCCTGAATGCCAGACTAAGGGAAGGAGCAGAGCCTGGGTAATGCAAACAGTGTTTCAAGAAATTTAGTTTGGAAGGAAAACTCTGACATATGGAAAGAACTAGAGGAGATGTGAGGCCAAAGGATTGTGAAGAAAATGGAACAGTGCAGTCCCAATGCAGTGGAAGGAGGTTGATGATTTGGAAGATGGGCTTTGAAGTTAGGCAGATGTGCATTTGAATTCCAGTTTAGTGTGTTCCGCAGTGGTGTGAGTTTAGGCTGGTTGCTTCACTTTACTACACCTCAGTTTCCTTATTTGAAAAATGGGGATAATTATCATAGTATCCACTTCCCAGGGGGGTTGCAAGGACTAAATGACTGAAGGCTTCCAATATGCTTAGAACAGTATATGGCACATAGTAAATGCTCAACAAATATTAGCTGTTACTGCTATTAGGTTAAAAAACACACACAACGAAGGAGGTTTCAAGAAGGAGGTGGTAAGTATATCAGATGTGGTAGACAGGACAAGGAGATAGACAGTGGAGAAAAGATCGAGGATTTGGCAGAGTGCCAGCAGAGCCTGGGAAGAATGGAGTACAGAGGTAATAGCAGCTAAGGAGTAGATGGGAAAGAGAAGATGGAGGCAGTAGGTATGAAACACTCTTTCTGTTGCAGTTGAGAAGAGAGCAGGAGTTAGGTGTTTTTGTTTTTTTAATCATCACCTGAGGATATTTTCCCATTGTTTATCAGAGAGAGTAGAAGGAAGAGAGAGAGAGAGAAACATCAATGTGAAAGAGTCACATCGATTGGTTGCCTCTGGCACACACCCTGACCTAGGCCGGGGATCAAGCCTATAACCGAGGTACATGCCTTTGGCGGGAATAGAACCTGAGACCCTTCAGTCCACAGGCTGATGCTCTAACCACTGAGCCAAACAGGCTAGGGCAAGAGAGAGCAGGAATTAGAAGGGAGAAGTAAACCCTGATTTGAGCTGTAACAAGGAAGTTGGAGGGGAAAGTTGCTGGGAGTATTTGGTACTAGGGGACCAGGTGACACCTTTTAAATCTTTCAAATATTATTTGATGCCACAAATCTCCACCTTTGCTATGCTAAGCTTGGACATATCCAGGAGAAGCTGTTCTACAAATGAGGAATGGGCACTAAAGAATGATCCCTTGTGAGAATGTGGTGATATAGCTCAGCAGGGAGGAAATGGGAGGGAGGAAAAAGAGCTCAGAGGTAGGCTTGTCCAGTTTCAGAAGCCTGTGGAACAACTGGCTAGAGAGTGCCTGGTGGGAAGGGCTCAGGGCTGGAGACACAGGTTTAGGAGCTATCAGTAGCAGGCAGTCGCCCAAAGCAGGGGAATGGATAAAAACACCTACAGACAGCAGGTGGCAAGAGAAGAGAGTACAGGAAAGACTGAGGCTGGTGGGGAGGAGAGGTATGAGAAAGGTTGGGCAGTGGAAGCTACAGTAAGAGCACTTCTCTGGATGGAATCGAAAGAGAACCAAAAAAACCATCCACTGAATGTCTCAATTAAGAAGGGATTGTAAGCCTGGCCAGCGTGGCCCAGCGGTTGAGCATCGATCTATAATCTAGGAGATCAAGGTTTGGTTCAGGTCAGGGCAGCAGTCAGAGTTGCAGGCTTGATCCCTGCAGGGGGCGTGCAGGAGGCAGCCAATCAATGACTTTCTCATCATTGCTGTTTCTCTTTCTCTCTCCCTCTCCCTCTCTCTGAAATCAATAAAGATATATTTTTTAAAAAGAAGAAGAAAAAGAAAGGATTATAAGACCATTGCTGAAGCCATCTTGGTAGAGTGGTTGGGCAGAAACTGGATTTGGGTTGGGAGTATGTGAAAGAAAGATGAGGAAACAGAGGCAGTAAAGACTACTTTCATGCCAGCCGGGCGTGGCTCAGCGGTTGAGCATCGACCTAGGATCCAGGACATCAGGGTTTGACTCCAGGTCAGGGAACATGCCTGGGTTGCGGGCTGCAGCCGATCAATGACTCTCATCATTGATGTTTCTATCTCTCTCTCTCCCTCTCCCTTCCTCTCTCTGAAATCAATAAAAGATATATTAAAAAAAAAAAAAGACTGCTTTCAGGAAGTTTGGTGTTAAATTAACAGAGATGTACAAGGCAATAGCTAAAGAGACAGAGTGGTGTTTTTGTGTGTTTTGTAACTATGAACAAGATAGGTGGGACAACTTTAGGTGAGCAGGAGCAAATGAAAAGAATGACAGAGAAAGGAGAAGCCTTTTCCCTAGAATGCCTGGGTCCTTGTTACCTATAGCACACAATAATACTTAAATAACCAGAAAATCACATGCACAAACCCTTCAACAGAATCGGTGGCATCTGCTAATTCTTATCCACAGGGACAGTATGTAACTGTTGTATGTACACGTGTTGTTTCATGGCTCGGAGGACTCAGTGGGAGTACTTTCCCCTGCAGCACCCCCACCCCTGGTCTCCTGACCAATTTTTAATCTTACTATTACAGGACTCACCCTTCCTAGGAGTTTCCTCTCACCCCACCCGCTAACCTTAAAGCTAACCAGTCCACGCTCGAGTTCCTTTCGCACCTTCCATGCTTTGTTGCCGGGGACAGACTGGGAACTATCCTGCTTGCCTCCCCTAGCCTTGGTCTGCTTCTGGCATCCTGTGAGCTCAGGGGTGGGCCCAGGTAAATCGGTCCTTAACGGGCTAAGGGAGGGTGGTCGTTTCTGTATCCTTCACTGCCTCGCCTTGTGATTTAGTTGTTTTCTCATCATTTCTCTTTTTCCGTCCACTGTGCCCTGGGTAAGGGAATCAACTGCGAAACAGTGGGGTGAAGGGCACCCGATTGAAGAACAGCAAGGAAACCGGTGCTGGCGGCCCCCCAGGAACCGCCAGGAGAGGGCGCTCCAGGGCCAGGACTAACGGCTGCGGCTGCGGCCGCGGCTGGAGAGTCCGGCCCGGCGCGGGACACCTGGACCCGGGAAGCGCACGTGGGGCCGAGAGGCGCTTGGGGGCACGTGTGCTGTTCCCGGCGCTCCGACCCGGCTAAAAATACGCGCTGCCCAGCGCAGGCCAGGTCCTCCCGGGGTCGCGGAGGCGGCCCGCGGGAGGAGCTACTTCTGGAGCCGCATTATTCTGGGAGGGAGATTGCTGCTCTCGGGACGGACCTTCCGGGCTCCCGAGAAACTGGGGCAAGCTTCCCACCCGCCCCAATCTTGTCATCTGTAGAATGGGGACCATTCATTTATTGAAGAAATATGAAGAGCCTATATTGTGCCTGGCACTGTTCTTATTGCTGTGAAGTTCAGTCTAGCGTTGAGGAGGGCGGGGGTGGGGGCTATAATAAAGAAGCAAACGAACAAACAGGATACTCTCATATTTTCAAAAATGCCATGATAAAAATAAAGGATGATGTAATAGGAGTGATATGTAAGCTGGTATTTGAAGAAGTCACCCTGAGAAACACGTCTGGGCAGAGAAAACTGCCTGTGCAAAGGCCTCGAGTCTGGCCAGCTGGAGGAGAGCGGCCAGGGAGAGGGCAGGGAGCTGGAGAGGGAGGCCCCGCCTGGCCAGAGACCACAGCCCCAGCACAGCGGACCCTGAAACTAACCTAGGGTGGCAGACGTCCGAACCGCGGTGGTCTGCGGGGAGGCTAAGATTGCCTGCAAGGAGCTCGAGGGAATTTCTGGGGGCGAGGGAAGAATACCTTGACTAGGGGTATCGACTCCCTGGTTAACACGTTTATCAAAACTCAGCGGAGTTGCGCATTTTATTATATGTAAATTTTACCTTAAAAACAAAGGTGAGAGTCGCCGGCTTGTGAAAGCAACCGTGAGCTGGGAAAATCATTCTGCTGCGCCTTCCAGCTGGCTCCGCGGGCAAATACCGCAGCCCGGGCTGCGCAGGCATCCTCTGGACTGGAGGGCGGGTGGGACCGGCTGGGAGAAGTGTTCCTACTCGAGCAGCGTGCGGGCCAGGGCGGTCTCGAGGGTGGAGGTGATCGGTGCAGCTCAAGGCCAGAACGGAGACTGCGGAGTCCTGCCCCCCACCCAGGTCGTTAGGGGCAACCTTCGAGCTGCCCTCCTCGCCCCGCCCTTCGCGCTGCGGCCAGGTGGCGGTTGGGGAGCAACAAGCCCGTTTGATTTCCCGCGGCCGGTGGAAAGGGGCGGAAGGGGGAGGGGAAAGAGGCCGCGGACCAATGGGTAGGACTGCGCGAAGTCACGTGACCGCATCGGGGCGGGGCCCAGGTGTACTTACGGGGCTGCGGGCGAGGGCTTCAGCCGCCCCGCGAAGTCCGGGAGGCGGGGCGGGCGTGCGGGTCCCGGGGCTGCTCCGCTAGGATTGGCCTGAGGCC